ATGGATATATACATATGGACTCCTTGAGCTTCAAATACCCGGCCTGCCAGGCATATCACAGAAGCTTTAAAGTCTCCCACATCGTCGTTCCAGTAGAGCCACCCGCCTTAGGCGACAACGGTTTTCTTCTACCCAAATTAAGAAAACACCTAGGACCAGGGCTGGCAGGCACGTTCATGGCCTGCACGTCTGGGTGCTTGAAGTACATGTCACCTGCACGAGTGCACGAGCCAATTCACTTGATTCCATGCAGACACTATATATAACTGCAGCCTCCAACAGACAGGATCTTCCACCCCATCTTGGCCGACCAGGAAATCGTGGTGCCTGCAAAACAATTGCAACCAAATGAAAGGCTATATATCCATATCACTTGCATGGGGGCACCGGCCTTCATCATTCTTGTATTTCCCCCTCCCGGACTTCGAGAAGTCCGTGTGGAGCTGCAGCCGCTCCACCACATCGGCCTGTTATTTTTGGGGCGGTGGCATGTGTGTGCATGTGGTTGTACAGGGGCCCCACCTCCACAGCGGAGGGAAGGCTTCGCGACAAGAAGCTAAAGGACATCATCACTCCCAAAAACCACGGCAGCTTCACAAGCCAAAAGAGCTGAAAAAGCAAGCATGGCGCAGACGTGGCACCCACTGCAACAAGGGCAAATGTGCATGCAGAAACACGACACCAATGTTCAGAGAGCTTCGGTCGATGTCGTCTGTCCAAAGACAGCATCGGGCAATCAAAGTGTGGAGCCGTTGTGAGTTTGCATCATTGACAGTAATATATACATATGTATATATATATATATATTTTTTTTTCACGGTGTGTTGATACATACTATACATCAAGTATACACATTGCATGGATGCACGGAAGATACATGCGAGACTGCATGCAGAATCACTTCTTGGCCTTGGCCGGGGAGCCAACGATGCCCTTCGGGGCCGGGTTCTTGGCCGGGGAGCCATTCAGGATGCTCTTCAGGGCCGTGCTCTTAGCTTTTGCCTTGGCCTTGCCCTTGGCTTTCGCCGCTGGAACCTTGGCCTCCTTGTCGGAATCCTCGCTGGCATCGGTCTTGTCCCGGGAGCTGTGCCTTCTTTTCTTCCGATCGACAGGCATTTGTTGATTCGCCTGCTCCATGAGCCAATTGAAATTTTCGGAGAGCATCTCCACGAAGATGCTCCCGGTAGACAGGCCCTCGCTGAGGATCGACAGCTGAAAGCCATCGATCGTAATGTCGACGATCGCCGGCAACAGGTGCACGTGCTTGGCCAAAGCCTTCACCTTATCCTTCTTGCTTTTCTTCTTCTTGGGCTCGTCGTCGGCTTCATCGTCCCTCAGGGCCTCTTCCAGCAGCTTGTCGCAAGCAGCCTGCCTCTTCTCGATCAAATCGTCAAAGAGCTTTATGTTCAGCGACCCCGATGATTCCCCTTGGCCGGACCGCAAGTCCAGTCGTTTGCCTGTGATCATTTTCACAAGCTGCGGGGACCATTTCGAGACAGCACAGAAGACCCGGTCGTCGACACTCTTTTGGGTTGGCATCCAGCTTCGGTCACCCAGCACGACAACCTGTTTCGTCACAATCTCGAAGCAAGCCATGATGATGCGATGCACGGGGGAAATGGTTTGATGCGAGGCTGGAGCTGTTTTCTGCCGGCGAGCACACATGCCCTGCCTAGGCGAAAACAACACATCCATGCAAGCAGCAACTTCAACAATGCACCTGCACTTCATCACGGGCGATGCATCCTGCACTTGCATACAGAAGCATAAAGCTGCACTGCATTTCCATCCGCAAAGCACAAGCTCGCACACCTGAGGGATCCTCGCACCATGCAGCTGCACAGAACACTCTATGAATGGTCGCTCTATAAAAACCATGCCCCTCGGATGCTTGCAACCTGCAACAATTGTACATATCCTTCTCCGCAATGCATTAGAAACAGACCTCACATATACATACAATGGAATCTTTCAGATACTGCAAGCTCAAGCAATGGCTGCTGCTGGTATAGCAGCACACTGGACTGCATACGGATGCCGAAACATCACTTCTTCTGAGCCTTCTTGCTGGAGCCACCTGAGCTCGCCGATGCTCTTTTCTGCGCCGAAGTCTTGTGGTCGTCCTCCACTTCCTCCAAGGGAGCCACCTGCACCGTTTTAGATCTGAAAGCCACAATGGGGCTGCCTTCCGGGATCTTCTTGGTGTTCTTAAAAACCGGAATCTTGATGCTCTTCTCTGTTCCCGCAATCCAAACAAGCTTCACATTGCAATCCTCTTCCTGATGGCTGTGCTGCACCAACCAAAAGGGAACTACCACATGTTTGCAAGTGTCGTCGTCGTTATCTTTGGGTAGAATGTTGGCTCCGGAAAGCCAAAACTTGCGGTCGTCTCCTTGCCAGTCCGTCTGCACCTCAAACATGGTGTTGCCTTGGCCCTGGGATTTCTGCACGACCTTGTTGGTCATGGGCACCATGCAGAGTTTCTTGATGTCCGAGTTGGCAAGCAACATCCTCGAAGGCTTCAGCTGCAATTTCAGGTGCTCCGATCCACACTCCATGGACTGGTGAAGCTTGTAGAGCTCAAGCTGAATCTTCGATGCAAGAATGCTGGCATCAAAATCCACATGGTGCTGGTACTGGTCCAAGCTGTCTAGCATTGTGGGCTGCACACGAGGAACAAACACGACCCAATCTCCAGCCAGGATAACATTGAGATCCACCTTGGCCGTCTTTCCCGAAGCCATCTTCACAAAGACCATCTGACCTTTCACTTCTGAAAGAACTCCCTCGATTTTGTCAACCTTGCGACGGATGTGTGCACCCATAGCGAAACCCTTGGAGGCCAATATCTTCTCAGGTTCCTTGATACTGCCGTCTTCAGCAAGCTCAAGCATCACACCTGCAGCAGAAGGCTGGGAAGCAGTCGCTGCAGTTGCAGCTGGTTCACTTTGCTCAGACACCGACTCCCATGGCAAAGGGAGTGCAACACCGGTCAGGTTTCTTGCCACGAGCAAAAAATCGTGCCCAATCGCTTGGACTGTTTTGTACTTTTTCTCGTCCGGCACCTTGATGCCGAGGACGTGCGATGCTATCGTCATATCCATAGTGGCCAGAGCTTGCACGACCCGCGAATCCGTCATGAAATCGCGAGCTCCATCCCTTAAGATGCCCCTGACCGTGAGGATCATGTTGTCAGCTTCCTTGACCTTGGGGAAGAGTTCTTTAGAAGTCATCTTCTTCACATCAGCAATGGTCACATTCTGCCTCAAGTATGCCTGCTTCATGAGTGCATGGCGAAATGCTGCAACGGGATCTGACTGGTGCCCTCGGCAATCTTGCCCGAAAGCCTCCCACAGGACAGGCCCCAATTGCCGAGAAGAAGGGCAGTAAGCCCGCACAAAGGACTCCGTCTCCTGAAGGAAGCTCGCATCGGCACCCCCGGAAGCCTTCAGACAAAACGTAAACATGTGGGGTACGGAGGCATGGCAGCTTGGTTTGCTGGCCAATATCAACTTCTTCAGAGATGCAAAAGCCGGTGCTTGGCCAGTCTGAGTCTGCAAGCGGTAGTACGTGGAATGGATGCGACGGAGTACTTGTAGCTCATGTTCTCCTCGTTGAAGCGATGTGTTGCCTGACCGGGATATCAAGCTGATCAGCTCTGGGAACTCTTCCGCCACGGAGGAGGAGATCACGTCCCACGTCAGGCCTTGATCAGCTGCTTCGTGGAACGAAGCATCCCGAGCACGAAGAAGCTCCATGCTGAGCTTTCCACCCACACTCACGACCTCGTTGCCGTGGCTTGCACCTTGTTGAAAAAGTCGCAAAGCGCAATTGGTATGTGATCCGCAGATCGAAGTGATCTTGATCGCTTCCGGCTCAAGGCTTCCGAGAAGACCGTGGGCTGACTCGAACAGCTTCTTGTTCCACTGCCGGACCCAGTCTCCTTCGACTTCGACACCGACCGCATGCACACGTGTGGGGACATAGCCCACATCGACAATCGAGTCCACAAGATCACGAACGTCTTGTGGATTCACTCCGTACCCATCCCGGTTGCAGGGATGGATCCCCACAAGGCTCGCCTCCAACTTCATGGAGGTCAAGAGATGCTTGGACTTCAAGTAGTTCAAGCAGTTCTCCACGATTCGGACAAGGCCGTCGCCATCCGAGGCTTCTCGAAGGAAAGCCTGCAGCCGCTCTCGCACATCCGACTGCAAAGGCATGATGGGCAAGCGAGATGGAGGACGGAGCTGAAAATCTGCCTGCGAGCCAAGGGCCCTGCAATGGCGATAGATGGCTGCAATGCATGGAGTCATGCACAATACACAGAAGGCAAGCATGCGAGCATGTCCTCAACACATGCAATGCAGCAGCTTTCCATGCAATTTTCAATTGCATCCTGAATACATGCGGCAGGAGATCTCCATGCAAGCTTCCGTTTGAAGCTTTGCAAATGCCAGGAAAACAACTTCAAATAAACAACTTACACCACTTACCTAAATCAGTTACACAAAGTTATCTAAGTTTGGCAAGTTGCTTAAAAGACTTGTTCTATCTTACTTATAAGTTCCACCCTGCTTTTGGCTAAGTGACTCAACTGCTTGCTCCACTTCTTAATTCAAGCCTCGGACTTGCTAAGTTGTCCATACAACATAGTATATATACAGCACTTATAACTCATGTTAACGAACTTGTAACTCAACTTAACCTGATTGTCTAAATCTCCTAAACCATGTATTCGATTACTAAACACCCCGCCCCTTCAAGTATGGTACTTCTAAGTCCCGAAAATAACCAGTTACGAAGTCCCCCGACCCTCCAAGTAGCTCCTGCCAGCAGCATGAGCAACAATGCTGGTTACTTGGAGGTTCATGGTAGTTGTAAGTGGGGCGATAAGTAGGGTAACTATACTTATGACCGCTATTCAAGCAAGCAGTTATAGCTCCACTTGTAATTCCATCTTATAACTACACATGTACCTCCAAGTGGCCCTTGTGGAGGTAGAGAACCTGCCTCCCGTGCACAGTTTTCTGCCTTGGCATCGGCCCCAGAATGGTGCAATCAGGGTTTCGGGTTTAGGGGCTTGGTGTTTGCTATAAGGCTGAACCGATCCTTTGTTTCGTATCGCATAGGCGGGCCCTGGTTTCGCGATGCAGATCTGAAATGTAGGGACCCGATTTGGAAATCCTCGGCGCTAAGCCCGCGTAAGATTTGATCATGAGTTGGACCCTTTCTCGGAACACAAGTTTCTTACTTCGAGGCTGTACTTCCTAGCTGGGGGGGGAGGGGCTGGTGCGGTGCTGCATTAAGACTTCCACTATTGCTAAATTATATGACTCCTGTGATTCTTATTGTTACGATGGTCAATGGTTAGTATGGTAACATTGAGATCAGTATGGTTACCATAACCTGTGTTATCCATATCAAACGCCGGAACCACCCGGGTTGCAGACCGTTGTTTAAAGACAGTTCAACCTCGAAACATGAGCTGTCAAACCCTTAGCAGCCTAAACATCCACAGGAGGAAACATAAAAACAAACCAAGAACCAAGGCACAAGGAAGAGGCACCCCCTTTTCTTGGCTTTGTGCCGGCGACGAAGAAGGAGAAGCAGAAGGACTGCAGTTAGGGTTTGGGGCTTTAGGGCTTCAAGGCTGTATTTAGGGTTCAGGGTTTTAGGTTGCGGGGTTTAGGGTTTAGCTTACAAGGTTTGGGACTGATTCCGGTTTTGGGGCCTGTAGGGTTAACAGAGGCTTTGGGGCCTGTAGGGTTGTGGGGGCAATCATGGCATAAATCTGCTTTGGGGTCTGCAATGTGCTTACGGAAACCTATTGTTTAGGGTTTAGGGTTTAGGGGGTAGCATCGCTGGCATTGTGCTGTGAGCAACTTTATGCTAGGCAAAGTTCGGGTTCAACTTATCAGACCCTACCAAAACAAAGGTTGTCTTCTAGTCAGACGTCCTTGTAAGCCTACCCGTAGGAACGGCACACCCGCACCATTTTTTGACTCTCAAGCCTCGAAACCCCAAACCCTCAAGCTCCAACCCTAAAGCCATAAAGCCCTCACCGCGAACCCATCCTAAACCCAAGGCCCAAACTAAAACCCTAGGCCCTCCTCCCACCCTAAACCCTTAAAACCATGACAAAAACGTATTACCCTGAACCGCTAACTCCTAGGCTCTATATCCAAAGCCCGAAACGCTTGAATCCGTAAACCCTAAACCCCGAAACCCTAAACCCTAATCCCCTAAACCCGAAGCTTTTCTAAACCCCTAAACCCCGAAACCCTAAATCCTAAACCCCTAAACCCTAAATCTTAAACCCTAAATCCTAAACCCTTAAACCCCTAAGCCATAAGCCCCGAAACCCCAAAGTTACTAAACCCTCAGCTCTCCTAAAACGCCCCCCAGGCGAAGCAAGCCGTAGCGGCAAGAGGCCTGCCAGGGCCCAGGGGGTTTTTGCAGAGGACGGTTTGGGATTTGAGGAGTTTCGGGATTTGGGGGATTTAGGGGGTTTAGGAGTTTAGGGGTTTAGGGATTTCGGGGTTTAGCGGTTAGAGGTTTCGGGTTTAGGGTTTAAGGAAAAGGTGAGTCCAGTGTGTGTTAGGGTTTAAGTGCCGATAGTATATGGGGCTCTTTTAAATATGGGGATGTACTTCGCGACTTGGTCTATATCACGGTCGCGGAATTTCTGGAATTTCTTTCTGCCATTGAAGCAGACAAGGGTTTGCGGGTCAGGTGAAGGATTTACAGCTCGGTGTTTAAGGTTCAGGGTTTAGGGATTAGGGATTAGGGACTAGGTTCAGGGTTTAGGATGTGATGTAAGGCTGGGCAAGTCTAACTGGGTCTGCGGCAGGGGCCAGGGGATAGTTAACCTTGAGTCATCGTGCCTAGACCCCCCAACTACCCTCTAGTAGACCCCAAATACCCACTATGAAGGGCCATTACTGTGGGGCTCTATTAAGGGACCGTTGTGGGGTCCTGGTGGTCGAGGCTCCTATAGACAAGTGCCCTTCTGAAGTTCGTGATCCCAGTTTGTTGTTAGACACAGGTTCCGGCTTGCCGATTGCACTCCGGGGTATCCTACACCTTTTAAAGCCCCAAACCCTAGGCGGCCCTTTTTTGGATGGGGTTTAAGCTCTCTCTCTCTCACACACACACCGAATCTCGAGAAAACCCTTGCCTCTAGTAAATCTCATAAGGCCGTCACAGCTAGAGCTCAGAGAGCCCAATACCCTTCAGCACAAAATGACGGTATAGGGTTTCGGGAGGTATCTTAATGTAGGCCTTGTTAGGGTTCAGGAAAGTAGCTGTATGTAGGCAGTAAGGGGCACAGGGTCCTCTGGCCCCAAACCGCCTTTACGCGCATGGCAGGTGAATTGAAAGTCCAGGGTGGTTGCAGCTGCGGAAGCTGCCGTTTCGTACTCACCAGGTGCGGGAGAGGTAGTGTTTGCGTGCGAATCAAAGCAGGATTTGGGTTTTAAGCTTTTGGCGGGTCAGGGACGATAGGGTTCAGAGTCAGGGTTTAGGGTGCTGCATGCTGCATATGCCTCCATAGTCTAGGCAATCCAAAATTGGGCTAAAGGTATAGTGTCTCCGGTCCAAACACACCGCGACGATTCCAGAGCATCGCGACGCTGATTCTGCGGCTTAGCCTCTCACCACGTCACTCTTTCGACGCATGGTTCTCAGGACGAGAGTCGCTCTCAAGCTTCAACTATTGGGTAGCCCGCGATGAGACATGCGCACACAGCCTCACGTGCGGACAGATACCCAGCGACCCTAGACTCGCCCGTGGTTCGAGGTCCAAGCCCTAGACCGTGCGGCTGATGCCGTCACATTTTCAGAACCTGCCTATAGTCTCCATTGTAGATTTTGGGGTCCCTCTCATAAGGATCCTACTATTTAGGGCTTTATATTGGGGTCCCCTATTTTCGGAAACTCCCATATCTAGGTTCCTGAGTGGTACCCTTTTGACCTTTTTAGTTTGGGGTCTCCTTCTTTTTTCTAAACCAGCTGAATGTTAGGTTTGGTTCCCCTTATTGTTAAGGGGTTACTCAGGAACCGGGAAATAGCTAGTAACCATATCCAGTAATTGTTTTTTGGCGACGGTACTCTAACTTTGGATTTATAGATGCAATAGGGACCTGCATAATCAGTATTCTGCCATATGGTTCCCTAATGTGGCCTGCCCCTGAAAACCTAGTCTGACTCTTCACCCTAAACCCTGCGCAAACCCTAATCCCTAAACCCAAAGCCGTAAACCCTAAGCACTAAACCCACAGCCCTGAACCCTAAACCCCCTAAACCCTAAACCCCCTAAACCCCTAAACCCTAAACCCTAAACCCCTAAACCCTAAACCCTAAACCCTAAACCCCTAAACCCCCAAGGCCCTGAACCCTAAACCCCTAAACCCCCAAGGCCCTGAACCCTAAAGCCAACCCCCAAGGCCCTCTGCCCGAACTTGAAGCCCCGTGTAATGAACGATCCATCACTCTCCTTTTGGGATGTTGGGGCTTCTACCTGGGGTGGTTGTCAAAACTATGGTCCCCTTGTGGTTACCCTAAGCATCAGGTGCCGTAATATAGTAGGGACCCAAGAAAGGGACCGTAATTTTGACAACCACCCACTTGGAGGATCGCGGGACTTAGTAAGGAAGATTTTGGAGTTTAGGCTTGGGGTTTTAGGGCTTAGGGTTCTAGGGTATGGGGTTCAGGGTTTTTACGTCTTATTTATAAAAACCGTGTAGGCTTCGGCTGTAGAGAAGCCAATGCCAGACCTCGGCAAGGATCCGATTTAGGGTTTCGGGTTTAGGGCTTGGGGTCTAGGGTTTAGGGTTTAGGGGTTAGGGTTTAGGGTTTAGGGGTTTAGTGTTTCGGGTTTAGGGTTTAGGGGGTCCACCTCCCCTCGTCCCAAGCGCATCATCTTTTAAGATCGCTCGTGTATTGTCTGGGACGCCCAAAAAACAGCGCCGCCAGGTTCCCAGAAGAGTTCCAACACTGCTACTGCAGCAGTTGCCGGAAGAGACATGCCTGCAGCGGTTCGGGGAGTCCTAAACCCTAAACCCATAAACCCCAAACCCTAAACTCCTAAACCCCTAAACCCCATAAACCTTAAACCCTACATAAACCCTAAACCTCTATACTCCGGGCATGACTGCTACGCTCCTTCGCAAGAAAAGGGAGAGGGAGATACAAAGAGAGAAAGAGAGAGACAGAGAGAGAGAGAGAGAGAGAGAGAAAAAAAAAAAGAGAGAGAGAGAGAGAGAGAGAGAGAAAAAGAGAGAGAGAGAGAGAGAGAGAGAGAGAGAAAAAGAGAGAGAGAGAGAGAGCGAGCGAGCGAGCGAGCGAGCGAGACCAACTGACATACCGTGGGCAATAAGTCGTACCTTAAAGCTATAAATCTCCACCCCGAGGAAGACACCGTGGTACTTCACATCCGGGAACCCACAGCTACCAACCGGGCTTCTCGACCGAAGGAAGTTATGGCGATCTTGCTCGTGAAGGAACATTTGGATCCAGGGCGACGACGTCCCGCCCTCGACGGGCAGCGACGGCGAAAGCGGCTCTGGAGAAGGGGAGGACTCTAGGGTTTTGAGTTTTAGGGTTTCAGGGTTTAGGGTTTTAGGGTTCCAGAGTTTTAGGGTTTAGGGATTAGGGTTTAAGGTTTTAGGGTTTTGGGGTTGGGGTTTTCGGGTCCGACTCCGGCCTTCGAGGAGGAGTCGGCATCGCAAGGCGAGAAGATCGAGAGGACTGTCCCGACGAGCCATCGGCTTCAAGACCATCCCAGAGACTCCAATATCCCTTAGTTAAGGAATATACCTTAAATCATATTAGGGATCCTACTATAATTTAAGGTATATTCCTTAATTAAGGGGTATTGGAAGGTCTGGGCATGTCTAGGCCGGGACTGTCGTCATGTTGGCGTGCCACCGCTTCGTCAAGTACCGCGAGTTGCGACGAATGGAACTGAAGGTGCCTCTGTTTCGGCGGCCCATTGTTTCGTGTTTAGGGTTTTTGATCACATTACCTAGGTCACCCACAAGCAGCAGCATTACAAGCCAAATCCTGATCTGCCCCGTTAGTAAAGCCAACTGTTTTTTGAGGGTGGGGCAGAGAGCTTAGAAAATAGAACCTGAACCTTAAGCCTTAGGCGTGTGTTCCCTGGTTTCGAGCTCAGAAAACCGGGAAGCCTAGGCTTTCGGGGGCCGCCTGGCAGACGTGGATGCCCACGGAGGTCCCGGGGAGCTACGTTGTTTGCCTGAAGTTTGAGTAGTTCGGATTTGGGGTTGATGCCCCTAGGCTTCAACTAGGACCTAGAGTAGGCCCTTATTCCCTTTTTTGGTGGTTCAGGTTCCCTTATAACTCCCTTTAAAGCAAAAAGGGCACCCTATTTATTCCTAGGCTACTCTTGGGTCTAGTCAACTAGGGTCCGTCCGGGGTTTGAGTGATCAGCTTGAGGTACCTGTTGCGAGGTCGAACAGTCTTGTCCAAGCGCATGCTGCATTTATGTTGTCATTTATTCCTAGGTTACTCTTGGGTCTTGTTGTTGTGCTGCTGAAATAAAGCCCTTGCAAAGAACCCTTCAAACATGCTTTCGTTGGAAGTCCTCGCAGGCCCTACTTGGAGGTCCATGGGTAGCTCTACGTGGTGTTAAAACTCCCTTAATATGAGTTTATAAGTATAGTTACCCTGCTTATAACCCCACTCAAAACTACCCATGAGCCTGCCAGTCGGCCCCAAACCCTACACCTTTCTACAAGGCAGCCATACAAGGATCCTTGAAAGGGCAGGTTTTTCCGCGGCAAGGTTCTGACCCGCTTTCAGGTTTAGGGCTTAGGGGATTTGGAGGGTCGTGGGACTTAGTAAGTATGTAAGGTTATAAAGTACCCAGAGCCTCCAATACCCCTTAATTAAGGAATATACCTTCAATCCTATTGGGGTTCCTAAGATAATTTAACTTACATAGTGAACGGGGGAACTTTAAACTTTCTGGCCTTTATATATTAGCTCTATCCTAGAAAGTTTGAACTTTTTGGGGCCCGGTTGTTGAAGAAGAGAGTTAAGGCACATTCCCTAATTAAGGGGTGTTGGAGTCTCTGGGTACCTGAAGTCAGAGACTCCAAAACCTTGTAATTAAGGAATATACCTTAAATTATAGTAGGAACCCTAATATGATTTAAGGCATATTCCTTAATTAAGGGGTATTGGAGTCCCTGGGTACCTGAAGTCAGGCCTTCGTTACCACTGTTGTCCTTTGTTATGGTCCCCTAATAAAGAATAGACAGATCGGTTAAGGTGCCTTCTTTAAGGGCTTCTTATTAAGGGACTAGGGTAAAGGGCCCTGTCAATTTCCCCAAAAAGGACAAGGTCTTCGTTACAGCGCTACTGTAGTTGCTATGTGCCATGTGTCTTCAAGCATCCCGTACTTGGAGGGTCTTTAGGGGACTTAGTAACTATAAGGGGTTCCTTCAGAGGGATCTATAGGGATTCTATAAGGGTATAGGGTTTAGGGTTTAGGGGACTTAGTAACTGGTTATTTTAGGGACTTATAAGTACCATAACCCCAATTAGGGCCCCTTTTAGGGTACTTATAAGTCTACTTACTACCTACTTACTAAGTCCCCCGACCCTCCAAGTACCTGCTAAACATATTCCGGAATGATTATCACGTGAAACTGGGATTATTACAAATCTTCGCACCGACGCCTAAATTACGCCTTCGATCGCTGCCGAACGCCTGTGAACGCATATTATTGCTTTTCTTGTTTTTGGTGCTAATATAATACTAGCATATACTGTACTAACCAAATATATATATATATATATATACGAATATATGTATAACATATAGGATAAAATACAATATCTATTATACAGAATATACTAAGATAAGCGACATCAGATGCTTTGTTGGATTACAGTCCTTGATATTCGATTAAGCTGCATTACATAATAATGCCGTGAACTATGTTGTATACTGTACAGTCTTCTTGCACATCATGATCTCACATACACATTATTCTACAGCTCTCTGCATGGATTGTCGCCAGGGGTATAGAGCCTTTGCTAAGATATACCATCGAAACGTTTATGTCTGAAAGCAAGCAACCTAAGCCATCGACCGAAGCCACCTCACCCACCCCCGTATGGTGGTGCTGGTGATCAGGATGATCACGAAGGTGATGATGGACATGATGGTGATGCCAATGAGTCTGAAGATGCACCTGCGATGGCGACCAAGGTTATGATATCGAGTCGGGTGATCATGGCGATGCGGGCGATGGTGATGCTGAATGCTGGTGCTATGATGCTGACGATGGGTCCGAAGCTCACAGAACGCAGACCGCATCAAGCATATTTCAGCCGGACCAGTGCAGCCGCACTTGCGTAAGGTATCTTTCGAGGCTTCGTTGCACCCGCAGTCGCGGGCTCACGCAACGAGTAAGGAAACAGAATCTTCCTATCAGGTCCTCGTCCATAGAGCATGACTCACACATAACGTTGTACACCCAGTCGGCTTGGTCAGCCTGGGTTGTCATCCAGTCGACCAGGTGCCAGTACATGTGCAGTTTTGGAATTAAAGTGAATTTGCATTTCTTCTCTCGGCAAGTCAGCAATGCCATCCTTTGATAGCACGCTAAGAAGTGCCACCCTGCTTGATTGATTTCTTTGGCTTCATGCTTTGGAATGAACAGCGGCGCTTTGTACAATCTGCTCATCCACAGGTTAAGGGCACGAGTGCCGCTAGCCTGAGAAAGTTCACGGGGTGGATCGTAACAGGGTCTACATTGTTAGATACCTCCAAACTTGAACAGTACATTCGTGCCATTTTTTCCAAGTTTCAGCTAGCTTCAGCTTCTCGTCGCCACCATGTTCCAGCTTTTTTCTTCTGCAATAATCATGTATGAACTTCATCAAAGACGTCGTCAATGCAGCTTTGTTCCACGATCCGTCCATGGACGATTTCCATCCTAGCAGATTCTTGTCAATCTTCTGAACGTAGTTGACGACTCTGTTTTCCTGACAGGACAACACCCTACAAGAACCCATCAGTCTCATGAAAAGAGAACGGAGCTGTACGGTGCTGTTGAAATGCATTCGAGTCTCTTTGCAAAACTCGATGTACTGCGCAGATAGATTGCCAAGTCGCTCGTCGATCGTGCCGCCGCAGCAAGTTTCCATCAGAAGGGCCATGCACCCTGCAGCCCAATTCTTGCCTATGCCAAGGCTGACTGTGTGAAAGGCATCAACCTTGTGAAAGAAAGCCTTGCGGTCACTCATGTGCAACAGTCTGCGCGTGAAGATAGCCTCGTCCTCCCAGGGCAGCTCCTGGTCAAACGTCTGTTTGTAGGACGCGTCTTGTCTCCTGGGCTCCGGCAGCCATAGATTTGCGCAAAAGAATGTGTTTTAGTTTTGTAGTCTATTAAAATTCTATTCTGTCGAACATCCCCCATTACAGCAACCGGACAGCAAAATGTATTGAGCCAAATTTAGCACGGCATCACATCCTCAAAGTCAAAGGGCGGTCTGCCGGCCAAGCATAAGTGGCAAATACCCACACAGGGTTTCTTACTGCTTTTGGCTTTGGGGACTCGTCGGTACGAGCGACTGAGTTTGGCAGCGGTGGCCTGGTGTTGTGCATGCAAAAATCGATTCACACCCAAACCTGTTTTGCAGATACTTCTGCTCGAAACAACCATTGAAAAAGCTGATAAACTTTTAGCCGGGGACAAGATAGGACCAGTCACCTTTATTCCCTATGGGAACGAGGTGCAAGTGCGACCCACACTTCAGCTTCACCCCCGCCCGACAGCAATGATCGATGTCCTCCACCACGTGGGCGAGCAACTCATCCATGACGGACGGATTGTCCTTGTAGTCCTCCTGGCGGCACATGGAGTATGTCAGTCAACAGAAAATTGCAGAACCCAAACGATCCAAAACATAGCGTTCTTAATTCTTAAGTACGGAAGCCTTCAGCATTGTAGCAGCAATAAACCGGGTCTTGAAACAGTGACCCGCAAAGTGCATCTCCAAACTTGAAGATGCCACATCGCCCTGGCCAGTCCGCTTGGAGTTGACGCCTTGCCCCATTGGGCTGTACACGGATACTACCAGCGCTCCGTCGCGCTTGTAGGTCGTACCTTCATCTCCGTGAATGTAGATGGGTACACAGCGCTGAAGCATCTTTTCTGAAGCCACGCCATAGATTCCATGCGTGCCATGGCATAGTCTATATTTCTGCCAAAATTCCAGAAGCTGCGGCCCTGCAGCTGCTAAAGTCTTGCAGCCCTCACCTAAACCGAAGAGGTGGTGCAGGTAGTTGTTCTTGTCAAGCACCTCAACCCACGAGGACGGCTTGATAATCGGGAAGTCCTTAAAGCAGCCGACCTGGCATTTCGTGATTTCCACGTCCAATCGCAAGCCGTGCTTGGCAAAGACACCAGATCTTCCTTAAAGCAGATCGAAAAATGATGAACCCAACGCCCAACCCTACCAAGCTAATTGAACTCCTTAGAGGCTCGGGCTAAGGTTTCTTGACAGCTGAGAAACGGAGTGGGCTTTGTCAGCTGCTGCGAGGCTTTCGAGAACAGGGCACACATCCGACATCTGTCGGCGAAGCAGTTGTCCATCCCCAGAACTTCCAGCAGCATATTCGGCATACTCCAAAGTTGAAGCAGCCCGATCAATGATCTTAATGCACTGCTCCTTGGGATCATAGGGAGTTGTGTGGTACAGAGCGTGTGTGTGTATGTGTGGAGTTTCCCTGTCTTTGAAGCCTTTGTGCAATGCCGAGCGGCGCCTCGGCTATAGCTCCAAGCCAGATCCACGGCAGCATTGGACACACCTGGCGCAGTGAAAACTGTTGAAAGCTGCTGTACATGTGTCAGAATGCATGCTTTTGGTGTTTCACAGCGCAAGACCCAACACACACACACACACACATACAACTTGTGTTTTTGCACACTGCAGAGCTTCGCTTCGATGTGATTGCGGATGATCATCATCCGCTCATTCGATCAACGAAACAAACGTCGATCGATGTGTGCCCGGAAGTATACCGGGATCCCCAAAGCAAAACTGGGCTGTCAATCCCAGGTGGCATCTCCCGTCAAGCCGATTGATTCCAAGGATCGAGGGTGGGAAGAGTTGTGATTGTGATTCAACTGTTTTGTAGAGTTGACAGCACCATAAGATGATCGTGGAGGATCAAACGCCCTCAGAGTTTCAAGC